TACTTTGACATTTATTCAGTCATGCAACGCTGTACTCAAATGAATTTGATACCATTGTTTGGGGGCAGATAGAGCTTTATTTTGGTGGTATTTAATCACCACTGGGGGGATTTATTTCTTACTATATAACAAAAATAGTACTGAAAATTTAAAAAAAAACAATTTTCTCCTGATTATGTTAGGAAACATTTATTATTACCCTATTTTTTGGTAAAATATAAAAGACGGGGTCACATCGGGTAAATAGACACTAAACAAATTACGCACGCCCACGAAATCGCAAAAAAGGACCACACCCACAATTGGCCGTAGGCGACGCTTTAAAAGCTTTTACCGCTCATCATTTTAGTGTTACAAGTAGAGGTGCACCAAAATGGACATTTTAAAACCGAAACGAAACCAAAATTTTAAAAAATGTCAGGCCGAAACCGAAAATGTTTTTTTATATCTATTTTTTTATTTTTTTAAAATGTTATTTTTTATAAACTTTTTAATTTTTTTATATTCATTTTTATTTATTAAATATTTTTTACTTTTAGGGGTTTTGTCCCTCTCCTTACGTACAATGCAGGACTGCTTCATTGTGTGTGATGATGTTGCAATACCTGTGATAGGAGGAGCAGCGAATAGTAGACGCTTTTGGGAACCGGTTGTGCAGCTGCGAGCAATAAGGTTTTAGAAAGTAGTAGTGATTATTCCTATTCCCTTAAACTAAACAAGCATTTAACCCATGCCGGGGGGAACGCCCAGCTGCAAAGGTAAATTCTGTTGCCCAGAGTTGGATTTAAGGTGATGGCATTTTTGGTTATCTCAAATGAAAAGTGTGAGCCTGGGAAAACACTTTGGGGCTCCAATTTGCTGAAATGCTAACTATTATTCCTGAAGAGAAGAGTCAAATGTTAGTCAATAAATAGATATAAATTCACTGTGCCTCCATTTTTGTGGAAGAATAAATGTTTTTAATGTGGCTTGTTATAATCAGCCCTTCTTTCCTCCAGCAGGAAGATGAGCCTCAAATCGGAGCGACGAGCCATCCATGTGGACCAATCAGAACTCCTGTGCAAGAAAGGATGCGGCTACTACGGCAATCCAGCATGGCAAGGGTATTGCTCGAAATGCTGGAGGGAAGAATATCAGAAATCTCGACAGAAACAGATCCAGGAGGACTGGGAGCTTGCAGAACGGTATCAATCCTTATCAGTTTATGTTTTTCCATGAAGGTCTCAGTTTAATTTCCTCCATTATGTCCCTTAAGTCGATTTGGGTTGTAAGATTAATCATGTGTGCAACTTTGGATTAGAAATATTTAAAGCTGAACTGGTCTAACATGGTATGCAAACTGACACTGGTCCAGCTTGGCCAAATGTAAGTATGTATATGCCACATCTGATCAGCTCATAGGGATCCTGCAAAGCTCAGTAGTAGCTGGAGCTACTACACTGCTGACTGTGATCTTCAGGGTCCTCATAGGAGCTGGACTGAGTGTCTTCCCCTCTCTTCTCAAAACACAAGGGGTGGCCATTCAGAGAGACAGTGGCCATTCAGAGAACCTCTAGTATTTTTATCAATGAATACAAGGTGTATCCTGATTGGACAAGGGTAATTGACATCACGATACACCCCTTGTCCAATCAGAGAATGCGTATCTAAACCCAAGTACAAAAATGTAATATATTGCAGTTTACCAGTCAGATGTGGTGACTTCATTAAGTTCCTTTTTTATATGGTGATTTTTTTATTTATCCAATCTGGTGATAACACGTTTCTAGTCCTTGGGTGACAACACTCACTCACTCACTCCACTGTATCTATGGAGGAGCAGCATTGTCAACCTAGGACAGGAAGTGTTAGATCTACAACTGTCTCCCCCACTTACCACCTCTGTAACATAGGAGGAAGGTGTTCTGTAATCCCCTGGGGAGAACTAAATAGGGTTTATAATACTAAAGATGTGCTAAATATGTTTGTTTGTATCACTCGGCTGTAGATCCTCAAATCATCTCTGAATTGGTGCTGACACTGTCCTTCCTTCTGGAGGGTGGCTACTTTTGTTCCCCATGGTCCCTGTGTGTGTTGTAAAGTACCCACTGCTCCAAGCTCCCTCCTGTGATGGACTACAATCTCATGTTTAGTTTACTAATTTGTATTGAGATTGTAGTCCATCACGGAAGGGAGCTTGGAGCAGTGGGTACTTTACAATACACACAGGGACCATGGGGAACAAAAGTAGCCACCCTCCAGAAGGAAGGACAGTGTCAGCACCAATTCAGAGATGATTTGAGGATCTAGAACCGAGTGATGCACAAATAAGATAAATTTTTGTTACTAGTTAAGGTACTTGAATGACAATCTACAAACACATTCTTCTACACAATTTCTATATTTGCATACCTTTTTTCTCTTTTCTTCCCCAGTCTTCTCACCGTTGCCATTTTAACTAAGGGCAGGTTACTAGCTTTCCTTTTACTTCCTGGAACTCTGGCACACGTGACTAGGACATGTGACCATGCACATCATCTCAGGGGAGGAAAATGCCTTTCCCTGAGCTCTCATGAGATTTCCCAACAATACTCTGCTGATGTAATCTTCCCAGGATGCAATCTGTTTAGAGGTGGAGTTACAAATACTGTGACAGAAATCGTACAACAGACTAGTAAATCGCACATATTACAGATGTGTTCTAGCATAGCAAAATGTAAATTGATTATAAAGCCAAATGAAGGGCTCTGAATTGTTTAAAAGTATGAAACCATATACTTGGGGGGGGGGGGGGGGGTTTCAAAAA